AGTTTCTGACCTAAACGCATGCGAAGATGTACGAACTATTTGGGGGGGGGGGGGGGGCAATTCCGGGTTTACACAGTATCCATCACGCCATGACACGCCATTCCAATTCTGGCATTCCGACTGCCACACGACAGTCAAGGGCAAGAAAATATAGTTTTCGGGTCGTTTACATCTGGCGTTCGTGAGCACGATTTCCATGTATAACGGTCGTCAATTGGCTCTCAATCAATGTTATGCAAGGTACGATGGCATAACCAAACAATGACGTATTGCGGAACATATGTACTAAACAGAAAAGCTGTAATGTAATGTAGTGTAATGTAACGTAACGTATTACCATTTGCACTTCAAAGTATGTCAATAGTTATAAGTGAGTTTATTTCATTACATCCGACGCTTGCCTCAATATCTCCAAATGTGCGGCTTTCCCTCTAGGTGCACATGAAATACGGTAAATTAAGTTGTTCAAGGTTTAATGCGCGGTGAGACTTGATGAATACATAGCTAGATCGCCGAGCCAAACAATTGATAAAAGTTTTTCCGGAGTGGTCACGGGATCAATGCTCGAGGCTCCCATAAGATCAAAAATTTCCAGCGCAGTTCATTTTGGGGACCTAACACACCGCCCTGCTGCAGCGGATAGCTCCTGATAGTGCCCCGAACTCAGCCGACGTCTTCGCTGGCAGGAGTGACAGGACAGCAGCGATGCCAACTTTCATGCCGACGACGCAGAAAAATTTGGTAAGTGTTTCCTCGCAGAGATGTGATAACAGATAATTCTGCCCTTGCACTTCATATTGCATGACGGCTGAGTACAATGCTTGATGCGGACACAACTTGCAAATTAGATCATTGCAGCAACCTGACCATGATGATTATGCTGGTTGGTCTGTGCAGAACAACTGCACTAGCCGTTTCAGGAGGAGAGCATCCGGGGTAGCTCCAGGAGTTCATAAACGTTTTGAGTTTGATTTTTAACGATGAACTCTTGTGCTCATTGATTTTATCGAAACATTGCCGGTACAGTGAATCTAGAGCGATAGTATTTACTCAGCACGGCCAGGCGTGACGAATCTGTGCAGTTGTCAGTAGCTACATCATTTTCGGGCATGATAATTGCAGCATCAAGCCACCGTCGCGTTCGATATAGTTGTGTTTTTAAGAAGGCAATCAAATATTCTGCGTCCGACCGTGAACCTGTCCAGAGGAGCGCGAGTGACCTGCGCCTAACAGAACAGGCGAACGGTAGGTCTGGTCAGGCGGGCGCGATTATTATATTACCTGAAATATTGAACACAATGGCCAGTGACTACAAAGAAGACAGCAAGGAGTATTTTCAGAGGTTAACAAAGTATGCACGCACACACACGCCCACGCCCACGCCCACGCCCACGCCCACGCCCACGCCCACGCCCACGCCCACGCCCACGCCACGCACGCACGCACGCACGCACGCACGCACGCACGCACGCACGCACGCACGCACGGGCACGCACGCACGCACCCACAGCACACACACACACCACACACACACAACACACACACACACAACAACACACACACACACACACCACACACACAACACACACACACACACAACACACACACACACACACACACACACACACGTCCTTTTCGGCACACTCCCGTCAGCATTTTCAGCGATCACAAAGTATAAGTAAAGCAAACAACGTGTTGGTTATTTAAATATGGATGGCGGGTATGCCACCTTGTTAATATAATGTACATTTTTATTATCATTTGTATCCAACATTCTTCATTTTTTTAGTTTTTGGGGCTCAGCGACAAGGCCATTTTTGAGAAACTGCACCCCTGCTCCCAACTGCTAAAAGAAAGTGCGTCAAATATGTGGAGAAAACTGCTTGAAGTGCATTTCGGAGGCAGGCTCAGCCATTGTCCCTTTCTGCACCCTCTTTTTCCCTTACCCCTACGCACTTTGCAAAACTGCATCCCTGTAGCTCTACATTTACTACAATTTACTACAAGCACCTTAACCAATATCGCTTTGGTTTTGTGACGTCATCGTGCAATCAGATGAAAGCGTTGGCGACCAACTATTTTTGCATAATCATTGCGGGTGCAGGACCGCACTTCCTAACATCATTCCAATTATTTGGAGAAAAAAACATGCGAAATTAGTATTAACATATGCAAACAACATTATTGAACACCTCCAGCACCTTTATTCAGCTTTATACACAGTATGGTAACGACTAAAAACATTTTATATCACGCCTGTCCACCGATCAGCACGGTAATTTAAGATGTCAACGGGCAATGTTAAAGACATACATCAGTGATGCTCGGCCTCTTAACTCAGAGCCGCTTTTCCTCTCAGCAGCAGGAAGCCCCGGATGAATCCTTGACATGTGTCGCCCAAATGTCCTCAATTTGCCTCTGAAGCTACAGCTCAGGTTCCCACAAACAACAATCCTCTTAGATTGACAGGGCTTTTTAACGCTATTGCCTTAAACCAAAACTGCTGATGAGTTACGTTCTTGGAGCCAGCCAGCTTTTCATGACATGAACACGACCAACAGCAGCCAACAACCTCGCACCAAACCCAAAGCAATTACCGCATGGCGGGCAATCGAGCCCATCTGTCTCAATCTGCGCGACGCTTAAGACGCTGCGTAACAAACTGATCACGTTCGTCGCAAGATGCCGTCGCCAGCCACGATTCTTACGACTAGTAGTAAGCCAAGCTATGCGGGATCCTATGCTGTTTAGTATGTGATGTGGATCTTGGCTGAAAAATCTGTGAAAAACACTCATCTGAGAGGCATTTCAAAAACATTCACCACTGATCTGTGACGTCAGCACTGATATCGTATAGGTTGTAGTATGTTTCTGCCACACACTAAAACTATTGTGATTAAAGTTAATGTGCTTAGCAGCATTCTATGGCTTAACTTGCTCATACAGCGAAACGTCAACGATATCCGATGATATCCGGTAAATCAGTGGCCTTTTCACCCCGGCGTTTTTGATTTGTGCTGAAAACACCACTGGGGTTAGGTAAATTACCTCGCGGCCGGGCGCGGGTCACGAACCAAAACAATGCGTCGGATACCACTTCTTTGCCTCCTCACAGGCTGAGAATACAAGATTCTACAGTCTCAGAGAACCCGAGACTTTGCTGCCAGAGCAGTTCATTCGACGGAACACGGCGCCCATCATTAACGTCGTGCCGGATCCTTCGGTACGTCAGACGGAACCACCTCGATGTGGTCGGGAGGGGTGAAGAATGACCTGAGGGTGGTCCGTCTCAGACAACCCGACTTTGTTCCGCAGTTTCTTTGGATATCAAATGAGGCACTCACGGCCTCCATACCGTAAGACATCAGTCCCCTGCCGAACCTAAACAATTAAAATGACCAGCGGTTGGGCTCATGATAGAGGTGTACCCTTCACAGTTCATTCTCATCTGTACACTAGAGAATCGCAGATACGTAGAAAAAAGCCTGGGAGAGATTATTGGCATTCTTGATGTTCCTCATTTGCAGGCCAGGTCCATCAATTTCCACTACCACGAGAGTAGCAGTCCTGTGTCGGCCTGGAGAAAGTCCATCTCCAAAACTTGTTTCTGAAAAGGCCTCGCAAGACAACATATTGGCTGAAAGGGTGAGCTTGAACTTTGCATCGATCTTCACGTTATCTTAGCGCCTCTAAACAGCCCTGAGCCATCTTAACACAGTTGCACTTGTTCAAAGCGTGTAGCCAGATGACCTTTAAGCCCTAAATAAAGGGACCTGTTTGCTGGTGAAGACTGTTGGCTGTTGAGGATAAAAAAGCAGAAGTCTGGAGGGCAAAAATATCCGGTTGTCCGCATCCTCAGGTGGGCAGAGAGGGAGATGAGAATGTGGAGAAGGATGCGACACACCACATTACTTCTGCCACCCTCGCCGACACACATATGACAGCTCATACATTTGTACGTCGGTTCACGCCGGCACTGCCATTTTACTGGCGACGTGGTGACTCGGTGGAGTGCCGTCAGATGGTGCGCAGCTGAAGGGTGCCGGACGGTGTGGCCCAGGTGTCAGCGACTGTATTATTGCTCAAATGGTGTTTCCTGATAGGGGGCTCTTTTGGAGATTTCTCTAACCGCCCCATCGTTGCATCTGCGCGGAATGCTGCTGCGCGGATGGTTGGTGAACGGTGCGCTCGGGTCACTGGTGGACGAATGGTCACTGAACAGTGGGCCGGCGGTCTCGTTCTTGGTATTACACATGTGTTCATTAACACGTAACGCACGCTCTTTTTTCCTTTCCAAAAAGATCGTGATCCTATACTTTTTTGGTACTATAGTCACCCACCACCCAACAGTCTTCAACAGCAAACAGGTCAGTTTATCTAGAGTTTAAAGATGATCTATCCTCTCTAAGAACAATGACCTACAGCAATGTGGGAATCCGATAACCTTACATGATTCCAACCGTCTTTAGCATTGTGAGCTAAGCGTGGCATTCTACAAAATCTTACCTTTCTTCGACATCGACGACAGTGAAGAGAAGGTCATGAAAGATCTTAGCAGGCGCAAGGAATGATGCGTCCTGATTTTGTATGTGTATGGCGGAACTTGACAACACACAAATACGTGTTTTTCATTTCGTTCGATGACACACACCCTGGGGCACGGCCAGTCGATGTATAGATTATATGAAACTGGCAACAGGTGACGCAGGTGATTTATTGCTGAGCTTACTCGGTGATTACCTTTATTACTAGATAAGGCTTCTCATCGACTAGATTGCTTGGCTGGTGCAGCTTTTCTTATAATTATGGATTTCAATGGAAAATGAGCGTCATAAAAACTGACGGCATGGCTTATGACGTAAGACTTTGACTGACTTTTGTCCATACAAACACATAACAAAGGGAAGCTGGAATGGTTTAGTAGATATCTCCATGGCTGGTTATGAAAATATTTAAAGGGCTGGCAGGGTCCACCTGCTTTAGGTCATTGGGGCCCAGTTCAGCATAAAACGGCAACTTCGCACCCCACTTTGAGCGTCAAATTGGGCCTTGAATCACTGGAATTACAAGCTATCCTTAGGGTTATGATAATTGTAGAGGACTCTGAGAGCTCAAAGAAGTCCTGAGCAGTCTGTCAGGTTCCCAGAGAGACATTTTAAAGACTTTTATTTTTTACTGTTTTCATATGATTTTTTGGCAGCCTGAGCGGTCCCCCTAATTCGGAAAAACCCTCAGTGCCTAAAAGGCCCCCTGGGTGGCCAAAAGGGCTCCAGACAGGAATGGGGCCAGGAATGGGTGCACCCAGAGTCCCCTGGGATCGGACCTTGAGAGATTAAGGTGACTTCTGGGCGTTCAGAGCACGCTTGAGGGGCCGACAGGCCCAGGCCAGAATGCCCCTGGTGACCAATAATTTTTGGTCTCTCCTTGTTCAGCAAAGGACATTTTTTTTAACATGCTGCATAAGCCGAAAAGAGCTCACCCATGAAGCCCCCCCCCCCCCCCGAAGTATACAAGAAGCCTTTTGACTGCCATTTGCGGGATCAGCCCGTGTCTCTGCTTGGACAATAGGCTCTCAGACTGACGCGGAGCCGACCGTTTGGTATGCATTCACTCTTACCAATATAGGGACTCTCATTGTCCCAGGGTATGGGCGGAAAAGGGGGGGGGGAGGTCGGCACAGGAGACCCTCTGGCTTTTTATAGCCCGGCATCTGCAAAAATGTCGTCACCAAAAGAGTTTTAGGTCATACGACCGTCTTGCCACAATTGCAGACGTGAAGTGGATCCGGAACAGATATTTCCAGTATATCTGTGATAGCTCTGGACGTACAGCGCCCTTTTGTTAAGTGTTTGGAAACTGTTATGGCGTCAATAAAGCACAAATTTGCGGTCTTCAAGGCTCGGAAATCAAACAACGCGCTCAGGTAAGCGAGCAGGTATTCAACCGCTCATTGCTACCAAGACAAAGCCCATGAGCTTCAGCACTTGAGCGGTCTGTGCTACACTGACGTCCCCCGCTTTTCCATCCGTGTACTAGCTGGCTGCAGTGTATGCTGTATAGAAATTCATGCACAAAGATGATACGTGCGTCAAGCCCCGTGGTGGACAGAACAAGATTGGCGTTAAAGGGAGCGTCTCATCTTTGGGGGTATTTCAAAACATACTCTGGCGAGACCTCAGGACCATTTACGTCTAATGATGGTGCTGGTTGTGCCAGTGCAGCACCATCAAGATATAGTAAGGAAGTAAACTTTAATTATTTTTTATTCCAAATTACGCTGTCAAAACTTTGCAACAGCAGAATACTTCTTCCTCTCTTGCTAGCTCCAGAATGCACCCAGCGAGAACTGCAGTTGTCGCGACCGCCATCGTCATGACAATTGCCGTCGTCATGACGATGGCACAATCTGCTGAAAGGTGTTTTCAGTCATTACGGGTTAGAGATAGGACTTTTAAGTTGTTTTAACCGGCAAAATGCGGGCCTGCGGATTTAAAAGTGCGCCTGTACTGGAATGAATGACACCAGTACGAAGCAGGCTTGTGATTGGTGCAGCAGGCGGCAATGGCCAGGTACCGAGAAACGCATTGGTTGAAGCTTGAACCAGTGCCTTTCTATGAACTATGTGATACTTCGTATCCTAAAGCCAGTGTGCTTCGAAAAAAGTCATTGCTATAAGCTCCATAGGGGAGAAATCAATGCCCTGGTATAACGTTTCGTTGAGTTCGCGGAATATAGCCTGATGTTTGCGATTTTTCTCTAAAAAGGGTGTTCCAAGCTTTCGTAGCGTTTACCACACCAACGTTTTGGCTAATTAGTATGTTACAAACAAATCAAATGCTTGTTTTCATAGCAGTGAGCAGAGCTCAACATTTCTTCGAATCGAAATTCTGAGCTATTCAGAGCATTTTGAGCTATTCAGAGATTTCGGAGAAAGCTGGTAATTTGATCACATCGGACACGCCAAATTTAACAACAATTGAACAGTAAAAAAGGGTGCCACAGTCCCTTTAAATCACCAGAAGTGAGGATTTTCAGAAATGGCTGGCGGCACGACAGCCAGGTTGAGCTCAAACCTCACCAAGCTTACCGACTAGCTGGAAGAGTTGCCCATCACGGAGCTCTCTCCAACGAAGCATCCTCCAGCACGTACTCAGGCTGAAGGTGCTGCGCCTCAGGGATACGGGAAGCATCCTTCTCGTGAAGATGGAGGGGAGGGAGGGGGGAAGGTGAGATAAATATGAATGAGTATAAACCGCGAGATGGAGAAAGCCACAGCGTTGGATTAGAAAGTAGTAAAGTGGTAGCCGGAAGTAAATACTTCATGCTTCTATCTCCGCAAGAAGACTCCCTGGCCACCCTTGTCTCCATCACTTCACCTTTTCCCATCCTGTGGTTGATTGTCATTCAGTTAGCTCTCTCTGTTCTTCTCCCGTTCCCTACCGACTTCATTCTTTTTGTCCCATGTGTCCAGCACCCCCATCTTGAAGACCTGCTTCAGGATATCTTTCTTGGTGATGAGGTACGCAATGGGCTTCCACAGCGTGCTGCTAAGCTTGGGAATAACTTTATCTCTGTATCATACTGCTAGCCATTTCTGCAAATTATCGCGTTTTGCAGCTAAATACAATTTTGCACTAGCCACAAAGAGGCTTGTTGTATATATCTTGTAGGTATGCTGACTGCCGCATAGCATAAACTTATTCAGCCAACACATAAATAGAAGCCCGTGAGAGTGGTGTAGGGTGCCCAGCTTGAGCACCAAAGTTCATGGGTTCCTTTGGGTTGCAGCGAGTGGGTTGAATGCGTCCTCATATAACACGCGCACGGGTAGCCGGTTAAATGCGACGCGCTCGGATGGGCAAGGGGGACAATTTAATCCCCTGAGATTTAAAAAACTAAGCGAGCTAGATAGATGCATCAATCCACAGAGCAGGCAGGCCTGTACATTAACTCCCTTGTGAGAAATTTTGAGATTTCTGCGTCATGACTCTTGGGTCAAACAATGTCAAATAAGGTCAGGTTAGTGAACTCATTTGACGTCTAGAATGTATCGGTGAACAAAGACCTGCGAGATCGTTTTAGTTTTTGAATTGATATAAACATGAAGGATTACGTTGAGCGTTTTTTCCTTAAACCAAATTTTCATCTGGGTCACTTTAGGTCAGTAGCCTCCTCTGACCTCCGAGAAGTCCAAATTAGATAAGACTGTAGAATTGACCGCATAACTCGTAAAAGGGAACGGGGAAATGGAGATAGAGATGCGTTTCGATAAAGGCATGTTGCCAAGATATCAACGGATCTATATCTCCATTTTCCTGTTTTTTTTTTCTACGAGACATAAGGCTATTACTGCTGTTTCATCTATGTACATAATGTTCCTTGCAAATGTGCTTAACAACTTATGTAAGACCAAATAAGATTCTGTTGAAGATCTTGTGATCAAGACCTTCAGATTGAGCAAACAAAACTACGCCTTAAAGCAAACTTCTACTGTGAAAGAGCAGCTCGGTTTTACCCTCGGTATCATTTTCATACCCGACCCAGAGTTAATAGACGTAGGCGAAATTTTAAATTAATCTGGCTAATTGCCTAAAAGCACCACCTCATAGACGTATGGCTTCTGCTAACACTCAATTGTTGCATCAGATTGAACGATTCCCTAGGAATTTCCTCCGCTGACAGCCATGGCCTGACTTTGACCTGCCATACGTCAGCGACATTACAAGATACACCTCACTTTTATATCAAAAGATCCGCTATTCATTTGCATAGAGCTATGCAAAGTATGGCCCGGCTATGCCACGCAGGTTGAAAGTTTTTCGGGAAACCATTTCGGGGAGAGAGCCAACTGACCCATTCCGGCCGCGTGTTAACAACCATACATGATTGCTTTGAAATTTGCTAGCCTCGAAAACACTCATTTTTTATTTTGTTAACACCATGGTCGTTTTTCAGAATCTACAAAGGCATTTTGAACATAAGAAATGTGGTAAACCGTCTAGGATTACCACAAATATATCAAAAATATATATTATGGGCCATTTCAGCTCTGTGGTTTTGACGCTCAATTCAGCAACTCAATTATTAAGAGAACATGGTCTCATGTCCAAGGAACTTACCTTCACCCCCAGGCAACAACGACAACGAGACAGCTGACCATATTGATAGCGGAAGATTCGTATGGCTGAATTTTGACGGGTCCAGACTATTATGGGGTCCGGGGTGTACCTTATATTACGGCACGTTAAAATCCCGCCACAAAATTCTGCCGTTGGACTGGAACTTTACGATCGAGTGACAGGGTCAGGGTTCACACAACAAGCACTGCTTAGCATGCATTCTAGTGTGAGCGGCTAATCTCCTAATCTCCTAGCCTAATCTCCGAAAAAAAATCAATCAAAATGTTCAGAGGCCGGGCTTGTGCATCGGAGCTCCCATCCGCTGCTGGAAAGGCCGCTGCTCAACCCAAAGATGCCAATGTGGTGCGCCACGAGCCCCAGTGGTCTCATTGGGCCCTTCGCCTTACAAATGTGTAGATGCCTCCAAGGTCACGGTCTACAATCAGTGGTACGCTGGCATGCTGAAGGGCTTCTAAAAGTAACTGGAGCGAGACCTCAAAGGCCATAGGGCGAACGTTCTGCTTCTGCATAACGGGGCGACTCCCCATACGTTAGGGCTGGCCATGATCTGGCTGGAGGACCACTTCGGACAGCGAACCATCGGCCGAATGACGAATAACCGGTGGTCAGTCCACCCTCCAGATCCGGTCGCAGATGTTAAGCTATGGGTATTCCTAACATGTGAAGTCATGTCACGCAGACGAAGCTCTCAGGGCCTTGGTGACCTGGGCGGGGCCATCGGCCAGGTGGTGAGCAGTCACACTTACACGTGCGCCAGAATTGTCTGTGGGATGTCAAACAGCGTAGACGTCTGACGTTGACCAGATGCCAATAATGCATGGCGCAGAACTTCATCATTTTGTTTTTCCAGTGTATTGGGCAATGTAGCTCTTCATTTTAATACTATGGGCAGGTAAGAGCCGGAAATATAAGGCTGTCACACCTTGCTAGTGTTGTCTCGCGGAAACGCAGGCCACCTACATTGATTGACTCGCTTGATAAATGAACATGAGCATGGACATGTATACTAAAAGGTCTCTCGAAACTTTCGTGTCACCGCTCTCGAGGAAAGGTCAGAATTTCGTAGAATGTCACGCTGGAATAATGCTCCTCGTAGAAACAATACGAATGTCGTGGATGACGCTACAATGCAGGTGGTGCTAAACGTTAGAGCTGATGGGCTTAGACGGGGGATTAGACTGTACAGAATGAACTGCTCGCAATTTGAAAAAGTCGGGCCATTGGCCGTTGTTTTTTCCGACAGTTTGGTGCTGTTTCCGTAGAATGGAAGTGAAACCAGTAGCAGGACTGTGATGGACGCCATTTTGAGCAGCCAATGGGCCGATCAAGATGAGGTCAAGCAGACTCCATCCGAAGACACAACCGACGAGCTCGAGCGGAGATGTCATCCTAAATCCTGCCTCTACTATCCCCACTACGCATTCATTGTCACACTGCGGTGGATGAGGAAGCACAAAAGACAGCTTCGGTGGTTAGCTTTCCTTGCCTGGATAACGTATGTCATTTACGTCCAGATTTACAGCTTTTACATCATGGAACAGGACTATGACGCGTGCAACGGAGGTGGTCTCGTAGCGTGGGTCAGCGCCGTCATTCTGTTATACATCATGCTGTTCAGACTGATCCTTCCCCACATACACCACGTCCGGCGGCTGAAGAGATCAATCTGCATCCGGCCGTTCGAATGCTGTCGAGTTACGTGCCAATACACGTGAGTAGAAACCCTCTATTGAGCTCTTATTCGAGGTCTGATAAAAGTGAGGCAAAGATGCCGTAATTTGCTTAGACCACTATGAATGTGGTCGTGCGTATGTTAGCATGCATGACTAACTAGCCCAGAACTTATTGCATCCATCACTCGCAACCAGCAGAAAAGCAATATTTGGCGGAGTTTGGATACTCAGCTGTCTTCATGAGTGAAGCTAAACAGCTTATGGGGGAAAATGTGATCTTGCTGGAATTTTGTCAAAAGCTCCCGTCAACTAAGCACGAGTAAATAACAAGCATTATGTAAACAGATAGAAAAACTGCAAATGCAAAAGCGACGTCAGGCCATATCACTGGGGTGCTGCAACTGATATTTATTCTGGGGAAGAGCCTTTGACCAATGCAGTTAAGGTTTCCTTCTTCTTTTTTGGCCGCTAACATCATGCATATGGATTAGGATATGATCTCGGAGATTTTTCTAGGCATGAACAGCCGTGGTGCCCAGACATATGAACAGAAGGCAAATATTACAATACCAAATTGTTCTAGCGCCTGCTAGGGCCAACAGTTTTGACGGGGATCTTGAGCGGTGGTTAATCACCGATTATTTAGCATTTCATAGAGATCGATATAATAATCAATTGGCCACGCATCCCTTCAAGAGCTGTAAGCCAGGCTATGAGTTGTTCTAGCCTTGCTGGCAATATCATCATAAGAACTGGTACATCTTGCATTAATAACCACTTTCAAACATGCCTGAGTCCGCCGTTGCAGTTTAACAGCGGTTTGTTTTTGACAGAATTTTGGTTTTTCATCACATCTAGTATTTGCAGCCATCTCTGGGCATAAAAAACGGAATACCTTGAAGAGCACTGACGGTTAAGTAAACCCCATGCAGCGCTTTCCTATACCGCCCTCCAAAAACAAGAGAGCTCATGACCGGCACATAGCATTCTATGTGGGTGCTTAAAAAATTTATTTCACGTAAAGAAACTGCTACGCTACAGGCGTCATAAAGACCCCAAAATGTAAGCGTATTTTTCAATTCTGAAATTTGCTCGTGGGCTTGGTGTCCCGAAAGCTTGCGTGGCCGATCTAATGACTTCATTCGTTCACGGTTAAGTGGGCTTCTCGCCTGTGACGGCCTCTGAACTTTGCATGAATTTAGCGTGGGATAGTGACGGGTGAACCAAGTTGGCTTCGTGCACCATTAGTGTTCTCGGTATTTGGGTACCTTCGCCAATTTCGTGTCCCCTGTCTTTAAACAAACTAATGTATGCGTCACTGTCGAACGTATTTCCAGTAATAGTTTAGTTCATTACATTTTAGATTGTAGGTGTCCAAGTCGTGCTGCAGTTGCCCATTCCAACGTAATCGACGGAAAGGCATCCACTGGAAGACTTTAAAAACCCTGCTTAATAAACGCCATTTTGAATAATTGGTTGGTATTCGCTTCAAATGAGTAACAGCGGGTAGTTGGTGGCACACTCAGGAAGAACAAATTTTGTTTCTACCGTATGTGGCGTCGGCCGTTTTCACGAAGGATTATGGTACACAACTTTTAAAAACTTTTTAAAGACCATAGCTTTTTATCAGTGATTTTCGGCTAGAAGTGTTTCGCAGAGCGTTTCATATGCGTCTTTACAAACATGTTTGCAAAGGCGCATGTTTTGATAAAATTGCGGTTGGCTGACTATACGCAAGATGATGCTTTTATGGACATATATGGCGCCAGATCTCAGCGTGAAATATGAGTGTTAAGTATGACCAAAACATGACAGGTAAAAACCTTATTTTAAAAAAATCATAATTACGTAAAAAATTGTAATTAAAAAAAATTAAAGCTTTTAAAAAACTTTTTAGTGCATTAATTCATTGTAGAAACGACTTATAAATGACATTTTTCAAACTTTTGCTTGCATGGGAATAGTTTACGCTTTGGCTCGAGCTCTTTGATCAGTTTGAGATAAGTTTGAGGCCTCGAGCGGTCCAGTGGACCAAATAGATTCTGAGATCACGGGCGAGGTAATTAGACCCTCATAATTTCAAAGCGCAGCTCTCCACATGAAAATAAGGTTTTGGCGTCGAATTAAAAGTCGCTGGGCGAGGTGCTTCACTAACGCTATCTATCCCTGATAGAAACTAATTACGTTGCGTACATCTCCTGAGTGAAAAAATAGACATGCTGGCTGAGTTGCATTCTCATGTCGTCTTAACCAAAAGCAAAATACATCATCCGTACCAATCCATACAGTGTTAGCACCGATATGAATATTATCACTTTTATCAGAACTCGTGCTCCTGTACATGTGCAGCTTAAAGCGACATATAGCCGTGCGATGGCCACACATACACACGGGTAAAAATGACATGAACAAGGGAACTTTGATTTAGATGTCATGTATTCAGTCTTATGCATGACGCTAAAAGCATTGTTGAGCCATGTTTTGGGCTTCATCAAACTGATCAAGCCTTCCACAATATCTTTTGATGAGGAACAAGTCACGCCTATTGGCAAAATAAGCCATCGTAAATAATGAGGTTTGCAAAAACCATACTTTGGGAGCTTAAAGGCTTAGGAATGAGTTCGGTGTTACTTGCAACTCTTGTTGAATGAGACGTCTAACAGATCATAGCTAACTGGTTTGCTTTCCGTTTCAGGTTGGTGCGTCTCGCCACCTGCGCCATAGTGTTCGTTTTGATTGTGATGTTGACACACCAGGGACGCTTTGTGCCTTCCACTCACCAGTGCATCGCCTTATCCGGCTACTTTGCCATCATTTTGATCGCCTACTTTCTCTCTGTGGAGCCAGAAAAGGTAAGTTAACACAATTAATTGCTATCTGATTCCCAGTAACAGCCAGACACGTTCCTCAGAGCGTGAGGAAAGGTTGGCCTTTCCAGCAGTTGCGTGGGCTTGGCTGGCTTTTTGTACTGGTTTTAACTGCACTGCTTGATGATCTCCCTGGTGATTATTGCCTCGCAAAGCAGCTCGACAGGTGCCGTCTCCTCCTACATTATTGCGTACACGCTACAGTTTGACCTGTAACAACTCATGCAATGATGACGTCCGATCAAGATGAGTGCGCGGATGTCTCCCACGAGTGGTCGCGTGACCTTGGGCTGGCCAGTCTCTCACGTCTCGTGATGCTTTCATCCTCTTGTAGAAGCGATCTTTTTCTAATTCATGTTTTATCCACAAGCTGTGAGACCACATCATGGGATCATTTAAGGTTTGATGACTGAAACGTTTTCAACAGCAAATTTAAAGAACTGAGAAGCGCGCTACGGGTTCGAAGCTCCTATGCCGAGTTAACGACCTCCAACATTTAGGGAGCTACTGGTTAAATAGTGGAGATACTGGTTACAGTGCTAAACACATATTTTATTGGCGGCACTAACTGGTTTCGAGCTACGCCCGCTCTCAAAAGGAGGATCGCGCCCATGGATGAACTCCGAGTCAGGATGATGAGAGGTGATGAAATAGGCTCTCTCAGTCTCTCACTCTGAATGAGTGCGCTCAACCCCCTGATGATGAGTGGAGCCCGTAATTTTGAGCACTACCATTAGCATGAAAGCCTCGCTTAACCAGCACCTTCTGGATTATTGTAGATAGTTAATTCAGCATAAAACTTTTTACTAATAATTTCGAAAAACCAGAAGCTGAGTGCCTTTCTTTCTTACACCAAAAACGTATTGCTTTGCTCATCACGCTACCAATGATAGATGGATTCCCAAAAGCTTGCCAACATAAAAATAATATCCTTAGGCCTACGACATCCTATACATATATATATATATATGTATTTATATAATTACATATATATAATATATATTATAATATATATATATATATATATATATATATATATATGTATGTATACAATTATAAATATATTACATTTCCGGCTTTTCACACTGCTTTTACACTTTATTGTGCAGAAACACTTCTCATAGACTATACAATACGTACATCAACACAGTCACAGCAGCAAAAACACATTGTACTTGCTGAAACCTAGGTACGCTTCCAACACATTAGTGACACCCATGCACTTGATGTCAAGTTACCATGGCAGATGTAGGTTTGTTGGTAATGTTTAGTTTCATCTTGCCGTTTTAGGCCTGGCTCTGCTTAAGGCATTGGTATCACTTCTATTGAGGTAAGACTCTGCCTAATCAAATTTCAGAGCCCTCTTCAGACTTTTTTTCAAAAAAATGTCATGACATGACATGAGAATGTCAAATTTCGGAGCCCGTTTTAGAACTTTTTCAAAAGAATGTCATGCCGGGCGGCTGGCACGACGCCCGCCATCCAGCTAAAAGTGACGTCATGCGGCCGACGTGTCCGTCGGGTGGTTACGCGTGGGAAATGCGCGGCCAGTACAGAGTCGTGAAGTGCACCTTCTAACGCCGAAATATGAGCTTTATTACAGTTCTGGGCTACGGTTGCATTCTCGTTGTCAGCCGTACCTACATTTAGTTCCGTGGTCTTGTGATGATCTTAAGACGGACGGTTGGTTTCGGGTGAATTAAGACGAAGGCGCCTTTGTTCATTTCAGCGAACGTGTGCTTTCAAAGGAGATCTTATCTGGCTCCTGCTTTTCCGGTGTAGTCTGGGCGAGTACTTCTGTTGTCCTACTAGCTTTGGGACAGAGGTTGATTTCAGCATAAGGTCAAACCATCATCCCAGAAAGAGAACTGAATGCCCATGTATCAAAACAAACAAGCGAGCTGAGGTTTACGACACGGTTCTTTGTAGATGTACTTACCGGTTGTTGGAATTTCGCGTCCAGTTTTTTTGCGACTTGCACTCCCAAAACATAGCATCGTGGCGTTACAAACAGCGCGCTTAAAGAAGGTCATTGAGATATCTTGGTATCAGTTATCTTGCTGTTGTACGGAGCGCCCAGGCCAAACGACATCTTCTGCACAAGATGCAAGAAACGTCACACCGTGTCTGCGGCTTGCGTTGTGCCCTTGAGTCTCGCTCGCAGCGCCAATTTTGATGAGAGGGGGCCTCGTGGCCGGCTTTTGCTCGAATTACCGTAACGCCAACATCCGTACTATTCAAATACGTTTTATTAGCGTGTTGATTGCATTGTCCAGCTATAATTCACCACCTTATTAAGCACCTATTCACAGAGCTAAGCTTTATACGGCTTGCGCCAAGTTGCGAAAGAACGTCGCAAGCCCAGATAGTTCAATGGACCCCAAAGTCTGACCTCAGTCCAGGTCACGGAGCTTTCATCGCGAGTTGCATTTAGTTCAACCCAAGACATCACCCCAGTGACACTGATTTATATCAGCCTGGTCACATGCACTGATACTAGACTGTGAGTGGTCTTGAATGGATTGCGTCAGTTGTCATTTCGTTACCTATATTCTTGGCGTCATTCATCGTGGATCAAAGCCACCCAGCAGTCATCCGGCGATTCGGTGTTCGCAATCTACGGCCAATTCTACGCCCTTCTTTGTGACGCATCCTGCTTCCACCGCTACTTGGACAGTCATTTACATGAACTTTCTGCTTGGTGGCATCGAGAATGCTTTGAGCGCCGACCTCCGCGGCTCATGCGGAGGCATGCAAATCCAATGTGTGCGTTCTTGCTACTTACAGTTCTATCAAAAATTGGCACACACCGTCATCAGTGTGTATTTTTATTCTCCACAGATTGATTGGCGTCTGGTCATCAAGAATTTGTTAATACAGATTATCATCGTGTACAGCATGATGATCTGGACCTTTGGCCGCGTGTTGCTGCAATGTACTGCCGAGAAGATAACCGTCTTTTTTTTCGTTCAGCAAGGAAGCCGCTGCAGTCGTGTTCTCCGATCAACTGCCACACATGCTAGCCATAGAGGTGAGATATTCCATCAGGCTTTGCCTTTTGACATTACATACATCCGATATAAAGGAAGCAGAAGTGTTTACACGGAACAGATCATGCTCAAACTGAATGTAAAATGGTCCAAAACGGCTAACCCAGGAATAGGAGTGCGACCTCCATATCGAGTTCACTTCTCACTAAAACAGGCCACCATGGACTTATTTTCGGTGTAAGTCGGAACATTGCAAGTTGACACGAACCGCACAAAGTTTTTCATCACAACCGTTTCAGGGTTATTCGACAACTATGCTCGTTTTGGCTACTCACAAGATGGGCGCTGTTCCAAAATGAGACACTGTATGGCTGTGTGGGAAAACGGCGTGGCATAACTTGTTGTTTCCAGTAACACTCGTAGGTGTCTGCTTATTTTTGGGTGTTAAGTGAACAGCCTGCCATCACCTTTCAAGGAGTGAAGCCACGCTGGGTCACATTCAATGTAAATCATAAGCTCACGTAAAGAGCGCACTCTGAAATCCCGCAACATCTGGGAGTGACGTAATTTGACGGTCATACATTGTCACGTTATCTGTACATGGCAAAGCAGGCTCAATTTTGTGCAGTTTGTGGACTTGTTCTCCTTGCAACGCACGAAGCTGTGCAACGTGGTTTTCGTCTGACCTGGTCGTCTGTACACAGCTGCACAGTTTTCATTGGGGATCGTTTTGTCTTTATGGGGAACGATCATTGATCGTATGTTGCTGTGTGTTGTCCCGCAGCGGTTTCTATCGCCGGCAGATACACAATGCAGGCCGTCACATAACATTAGGAAGCCTGGCAAAGCTGCACTGTGCTGGAGGATCACGTGTTGTGTTGGATACACACTTAATTTAACGACTATGCATTTGCTTGTTCAGGGACCCTCCGTCCATCTTCAAAGTCATTCAGTGTATCATTTTTGCTACGTGACCTCTTCAGCCTAAAGGGCTTCACCAACATGATCTAAGAGTCAATATATCGTCTCCACGATTATCTAAATTTACCAAGAGTGCTCATCCTTATAAATTTGCGCTCTACGGCGCAGGCCGCTTCCGCATTTTAATTGAAAGGATGCCGCTGCCTCGTGCGGTGTGCGTCCTCCTTTGTGCGCAAACAGGCGGTTCAGGCAACAACCCAACATAATTCTTAAGCAATCCCGATGTCGGAACGAAAGTGAGCTGTTACAAGTCAATATGAAAAATAAAGAACCCAGGCACTGTTTGAGCAAAAGACCTGTTTCATCTGCGCATGTGGTGGTTTGGTAAGTACTCATATACAGCGTGGAGATATGACGTGCTGCATCTACTCTGAGTCTAAACGAAGGATCACGCTTCTTTCACATGACCCACGATGGTGCAGTCGTTTTCTCCGTTTTAAAAGTGTCATGAAGAGTATTCAGTGGCTGGTGTTCACACTTCTGCTGCCGACATGACCAAACGACTGTTTTGTGCAAACATATAGCGTATGTGTGTGTAACAACTTAAGTCAAGGTAGCCAGGGAAATCTGCTGTTCTCGTTTTGTGTGCGAATTTGCCTCACGAAATACGTCTCTTACAGCTGCTGTGTACCCTCACTCTGACTGGCTGCTACATGCATATCTTGTACTACCTTGGGATCCTTCAAAGCTTTTTCCACAAGCTCGGCTTTATCTTGGAAATGATCACAGGAGCCACGGCTGTGGAAGCCATCTGTGCCGCGCTTTGCACACTTTGCGGAGGGTAAGTGAGTGCGTGGTCAAAGACAACATTGTGCAGGAGTGCAGTTGGTCAGCAGACATCGTCTGGCGACTCCTGGAATGGAACACCGACGTGGGTCAGAGCAAATCATGTTCACCCGGCCGGGCCACAGCGGGTGGTATCCAGCGCTTACAAACCCCACCACTTGGCAATGCTATGAGCAGCTGTGAGATATACTTCAGTAGTAGTGAAAACGTTGCCAGACAGCCAGCAGTATCCAAGGAATTAAGATTCGTTTCAAAACGATGATAGGATCGTGGTAGAAAAGCTAAGCCATCCTTCCTTGTGACATTTCTGTTAACTTCAGTTAATCGGCCCATCTCAGTCGACCAGAAATCATAGACACTTCTCCCAAAAAAGGGAACTGGTCGTCCGGGGCCATGAGATCACCGTCTGGTCCGTAGCCTCGGGGAGGGATAGTAAGCAGCGCAGGGTGAAATCTGAGGGGACCCACTGAGTGGGCGGTGGTTTCCGACGACGCGGTGCTAAAGCAGATAATTTTTATATTGCAATTTCATTTTTGTGAACATGGTGCAACCTTTCCAACTTGGCTGCCTCCATTGGCATGGACTTGGAGGAATCTGCGGTCGAGCAAAATGGTTC